TGGGTTTCAAACCCAACGGCTCGGTGCGCGGGGCGTCCGGGGCTTCGGTGCCCACGGCCCGCCGGTGGCGTGGGGGTGGGGCGGGGCCCGCAGGACCCCAGGGCCGTTTCCCGGGTTAGGAGTCAAAGCCAAATGCGCTGTGGCCCTGCTCGGCCACTCCCAACCAACCTCCGCATCTGCTGGGGGCGCTGCCCCTTTCTCCACCTGATTGTAACCCTAACTGCTATTTTATGGGGCGTTCACCATGTGCCAAGTGCTGGGCTCATACTCAGTCCTGTTCGAGTCCATGAAATTAGTACTAGTTTTTGTTATCATTCTACATGTGAGAAAACCGAGTCTCAAAGTCATAAAGGGTTGTGTGCAAGGCCCACCCAGAAATAAAGAGCTGGGATTCAAACCCAGCCCCCTAGGCCTGATCCCTCCCCTTAACTGGGGACAGGCTGTTCCCTCCAGCGCTGGGTGGGAGTGGGAGTACCGGGCCCAGGTGCAGAGAAGGACAAGGCTGCTTTTGGATCACTAAGCTCCACCCACACTGAAGCCCCTAGTTAGACTCGGAGCTGACACAGCACCTGCACCCGGGGCTCTCTGGCCCCAAGTCTCAGTGACTGTTCCTCCAGTGGTGCCCCTGAAAAAGAAGAGCAGAGAGGGCAGAGAAAGAAGAGTAGACTCTGGTAGGCCATGATGGCAGCCTGTAGAAATAGGGCTGGGTTAAATCCTGACACTGCCATTCCTAGCTGTGTGACCCCAATAACTTTCTTAACTTCTCCCATCCTCATTCCTTTATTCCCCAATATTGGTGGAGCCCTTCCTTGTGCCAGGTGAGTTGCTGGGCCCTGAAGAACAAATAAGATGAACAAAACTGGCAGGTCCCTGCTCAGGGAGCCCATATTCTAGTGGAGGTAGATATATGGCAAACTAGCAAAGCTAGTAAAGAAACAATGATTAGAGAGGAAATAAAAGCTCTGGCAGGAAAGACCTAACAAAGCGAGGCAATGGGGATGGGAGGGGAAGCAATATTAGGTGGTGGTCCAGGCAGGCCTCTTTAAGGAGGTAACATTTGAGATGGAAGAGTGAGAGGGAATTCTTTTATGTAAAATGGTGCTAATAAATTATTGTGAGGATCAAATTTCTGGCACATAGTAGGCACTCAATAAATATGCGTTAGATGAATTAATGATATACTGTATGCAAAGTGCCTGGCATACAGTAGGTGCCTATACACATTCTTGCTCTTTACAGAGGGGCTGCGTTCCTGGAAATGTTGACTCTAAATTTTGAAATCCAAGCTTCATTTCTCTTTGATTTTCATTATAAAATTGAAGATGTGTTCCTTTGGGGAATATTCCAAGGACCTAGACTGAATAAAATTATAGTTAAGAATGTAGAAAACCTTTTAAAATAGTGTATTTAAAGGAAAGTGATCATTTCTGATGAAATATTAATAGTTCTGAAAATGTCAGTCAGTGTTTGTGCTGCTTGGCATTTGGTTGGCTAACACCTATGCTTAGAGCAGAACGCCAACGGCCCTGCAGTGCCCAGGCCACAGGATTCCGGAAAGTTAGGCAGCTCACTTGTTCCTTCTCCTGCTCTCTCTCCCCCTCAGCACGGACTAAATTAGAAAGGCTTGCAAAACACACACACACACACACACATATATATGGAGATATATATATATACACACACACATATATGCAGCAGGGATAGGGAACAAAGATATATGTTTTTTAGAGCACACAGATTAGATTACTAGAAGATTCTGCAAAAACCTTAAGTGATGTACTTAGAAACACCATAAAGCTACGTCCAATATGGTAGCCACTAGCCACATAGGATTATTTTTATTTTAATGTAAATTAAATTCAAAATTCAGTTCCTCAGTTGCACTAGCCACATTTCAAGTGCTCAGTGTGGCTAGTGGCCACCATATCGGACAGCACAGAGAACATTTCCATTATCATGAAAAGCATAGACTCTAGAACCAGATAAACTGGGTTCAAATTCTGAGTTCATGTTTTTTGACAATGTAGGCTTAGGCAAATTACTCTGTGCCTTGGTGTATTAGTTTGCTAGGGTTGCCATTACAAAGTACTACTGACTAGGTGGCTTAAACAACAGAAATTTATTCCTTACAGCTCTGGAGGCTAGAAGGCTAAGATCAAGCTGTCAGCAGTGTTGGTTTCATTCTGAGTCCTCTCTGCTTGGCTTATAGATAGCTGTCTTCTTCCTGTGTCTTCCTATGGTCTTCCTTCTATGTGTCCAAGTCCTAATCTCCTCTTCTTAAAAGGACACCAGTCATATGGGCTTAGGGCCCACCCTAATAGCCTCATTTTATCTTAACCACCTCTTTAAAGGCCCTATCTCCAAATACAGTCACATTCCAAAAGTACTAGGAGTTAGGACTTCAACATACAAGTCCTAATCTCCTCTTCTTAAAAGGACACCAGTCATATGGGCTTAGGGCCCACCCTAATGGCCTCATTTTACCTTAACCACCTCTTTAAAGGCCCTATCTCCAAATACAGTCACATTCCAAAAGTACTAGGAGTTAGGACTTCAACATCTGAATTTTGGGAGGACACTTGGTTTCGTCATCTGTAAAATGGGACGATAATAAAGAACACTTCCTTTGTAGAATTGTTGTAGATGTTGTATTACTAAGTAATTGATCAATATGTGGAAAGTCCCTGGAACAACACCTGGCATGTAAGAGACACATGAAAGTGCTTACATTAGTTTCCTTGTTGATTACATTGAACTGTATACCTTTAGAGTTCCTGAATAACAGCCTTTGTGCTTTGAGTAGGAAGGTAGAACTTAAGCTGTACTGGGGAAATTGTTCTGTGATGAAAAGTGGACTCAAATCACCACTTAAGCCTTTCCAGGCTTTGTTCATTTTTGAACACTAATCATGGGCCAAGATTGTGCAACACACAGGGATTAAAGATGAATGAGATTTCTACCCTAGACAGAGTCACAGCCTCATGAAGAGGGCAAAGTATTCTATAGGTGCCTGGTATAGAACAGGTGTGGTATAAACTGACTTATTCCAGTCACCATTCAACACGGAGTTATATTCCTCTAGCACATGTATCCATGTGCCCAGCACTGTTTGAGGTGCTGAAGATAGAGCAGTGAAGAAGACCGACCGGTTTGGTCCCTGCCTTTTGTAGAGCTTGAAGTGAAGCATTCAATGGTCATAAACATTATTTTTACCTATGAATTATTTTTAGCTTGGAAAAATTCTTAAATTTCTCCTTACCACCCATATTACCTTGGGTTCAACCTCTTTGCATCTCAGTTCACTCATCTATGAAACAGAGATAATAAAATATTGACTTTGTGTTAGTCCATTCAGGCTGCTATAACAAAGTATCTTAGACTGGGTCA